AGCAAAATCAAGCACTGAGTAACCTGCAACAGCAACTGCAAGAGCAGCAGGTCTTAGAGAATTTGCAGGAGCAACTTGAGGTGGAGTTACTCCAGCCCCAGATGCACTCCTCCGCCCAGGTACAGCAGCCAGTGTCTCTTCTTCAGCAGGCTGGAGAGCTGCTCACCATTCAGACCAGCTTCCCAACACAGCCTCCATCCCATACATCTCCTCCACAACAGCTCTTCCAGTCACCCAGGCCCCTGGCTGAGACCCAGGGCTCCCAGCAGCAGGTTCAGGCTGCCCTGCTCCAGAACACACTGACTGTTCTCACTAGTGGCAGTCTTAACTCTGAGCAGCAGGCCACAGGGTCGGCCCTTTACCTGTCCCCAAACCCTCAGCCCCAGCAACGTCAGCAGATGGCATTCATCTCTTCCATGGAGACCTCAACCAGCCAGCCCCAGTCTGTTGCAATTTTTCAGAACCAAGCCCAAGCTCAGCTTTCCCAAATGCAGCAACAGAGCACCCCCATGGAGCAGCACCAGTCTCCACAGCAGAACCAACAACAGCCACCGCAGCTTCCAATGGGCCAACAGGGCTCCTTGTTCCAAAGTATCCCAAGCCACTCACAGGCTAACCCTGTCCCCCAGAGCCAACTCTCCCAGCCCCAGCAGACGGGTCTGCTCCTCTGTACCACAGATCTGAACCCTCAGGCCATTCCCCCAACTATTCTCTTCAGCACCCAGACCCAAGGCCCTTCTTCTATGGGCAGCATTAGTGTTGGAATCTCTCAACCAGACCCAGCAGAGCCCATGTCCTTTCAAGACCAGAGCTCCTCAGGCAGCAACTCCACATCCACTGAGAGCCAACAGCAGAGCCTTTTCCAGGAACAGCTGCCAATGCAAGTGGGACCAAGCTCCAGCAGTGTCCCAAACAGTCAACCTGTGGAGCTCTTCATGCCACAGACATCTCTGTCTAGCCTGCAGAGCACTATTGGCTCACAGGAGCTGAACAGCCAAGCTCCAGCCCCTGGCACAACCATATTTGTGGTCCAGGGTAATGTGAGTGTGGTAGCTAACCCTGGCCAGCAGCCCCCAGAGCAACTTTTCCAGACAGCTGTAGGTGGGAATGTGTCTCCACAAGGACAGGCCAACTTGTTTGTGTTTGGCATCCAGAATGGTAAGATGATTTTTACTTCTCCACCTCTACAGTACAGTAAATCCAAGGTACATTACTGTGTTGATTTCTTGTTTTCCCAAAGCACACAGTGCTACCATGCTCTACCCATAGAGTTGTACACATGCTTCCTCAGTTGCTCCAATGCCACGATCATGTGCTTGACCTGTTGTTCAAGTATAGTGATTACTACCATTTTGTCTTCCTCCTAGACTCACCCCAAATGCTCAGTTCCTCTGGACCCACCTTGCCTTCTCAGAGCCAGCCCCAGAGCTCCAGTCACATGCAGTCTCTGATGGACCAGCCCATGGCCCAAGCTGCCTCCCCGGCCACCATGCAGAGCAGCTTACAGAACACCCTTCAGGCACAGATGCAGTCCAGCTTGGAGAATGCCTTGCAGACCAGCCTACAAAATGCAATGCAGGCAAACACACAAACAGCTCTGCAGTCCAGTTTACAGGCAGCCATAGAAACAAGCCTGCCAACTCCAATGCAGACCAATTTACATACACAGTTACAGAACAGCTTACAGAATCAGTTGCAGGCATCAATATCTGCGTCGTCCAGTATGGATAAAATCGAGGACCTACTAGAAAGTCTGCAGAAGCAGTAATAAATATTTGGACCATGTGGACACAAAGAAGAGTGAGTGATATGTAGCTGAGAGTTCTACATGCTAACATCAACAAACACAACGGTGGTGTTTTGTGTCAATGCCACAAAACTAGGAAATGTCTAAATATTTAAGAATGAAATGCCCCTTTTATCTAAAATTCAAATTATGAGCTCATGTAACTCCATGTTTTTAATGAAACATCATGAACTAGCCTTCATACACCCATTGTCTCTGAACTGATTCATTTACTTTTGTTATTGCCCCTCTTGCAGGATCAAAGAGGCCTGTAATAACGGCGTTCATCATCAGTCTGAAAAACACAGTGTTGTGTTTTATTAATGTGAGCATAAGAGATGATGATCACAGAAACCTGTAAGATGGAAAACCTGGAGCGGAATAAAGAATGTCAGCGACAGGGAAGGGGGAATGGAAATGTGGTGGAGGCTGTAAGGGCGGACAGAGTAGGTAAACAGCCAGCCATGGAGCGAATATCATGTAGCACGCAAGTGTCAGATCAAGGCCGATTCTCATTTTGTGTGTATAAACTCCGCGCCTTCCCTTAACTCAGAGAGGCAGCTTAAGCGAGGAGAGTTCTTGTCTAACCGCCATGTTGAGCAACAGTGAAAACAGGTGTGTTACCTAGCATAAAACCAGTTGAAATAATGTCACGGCCACTAAATTTAAGACTATCTGCAATTAGCCAAACCTTGTGTTTGTTTGTCAACAATGTGACAAAATTATACTCTAAGAGTAAAGACTATCAAATGACGTACATTTGTAGATGTTTTGCCTCCATCACATTTGCTGGCTTGGCCAGAGTCTGCACCTGAGCAGACACCTTTCGAGGGTGGGAGCACAGTTAAAGGTTGATATCGACTCCACACCCCACAAACAAAAGGAACTTGCTCGTCATATTGGGGTATCAATACATTCTGGTATTGCCATGAATATGAAACACTCAAATGAGATTCAACCTGGTGAATAATGTGACTTGGGCTTTGTCAGTGTTTTCATATGTTCAGGCCTCATCACTGGGTTTGTAGAAGTTTTCATAGTGACATTTTAAGAAACATTCACCTGTGTAGGGAGTGTTTTTGTTGGGTTTTTTGGTAACTTTACCAATTCAGAGTGGATAGAAAGAAGCTTTCCACTAGTGGAAAAATGGAGTGTTGTGTGGTTTTATAAACATTTTATCTCAAGCACTTTATAACTGCTCTTATGTAACCAGTTAATCCTTATATCCGTCCACAGCGCTCTACTGTCCCAGCTGAATTTGTACTCGGAAACATCCAGTTAAAAAAAAACAAAACAGCCCTTGTCTTTGTTAAAGGTGAAGACATCTTAACCAAGCATCTTTATTTTTTCTCATGTCAAGATATTTTTGAGGTCTTGGACATCTTTGTATAGAATGTCTGCTCACTGTTGAATCCCTCTTTGTATTCAGTCTCAGTGGTCCAGTCATGTCTGTCAAAAAAAAAAACCAGCCATTCCCACAAAAGCATTGTCATGTCTCTGTGTTGGAGTGGTAAGTAGACTTTGTTTTACATGCTGACAAATACTGTTTCATTTTGTTTGTGCAGTGAAATGAAGGATTTTCATTGTTACGCTGTTTGTACTATTTACTGTTGGGTCTGGTCTCTTGAGACTGTTTTATCTTAGTTAGATATTTAACTATTTGTCTCAGTGTTGGTACCGTGTGCAGGCTGGCATCCAGTACCCGTCCCTTGTGTTGTGAAGTGGGACTCACTGGTAAATGACATCTCTGTTACATAGAGGACGCCGTTTCGATTCTGTCTATGGTGCTACGTACAGGAGTGATGGGCACTTCTGATGTGATGTTAGGACTTAACAGTTTCTATTTATAGCACTGACATTCTTAGCATTGAAGCATGGTGGAGTGTGGGGAGCCGGCCGTTGTTGTGGAGTGAGACTGGAGTGCACCCAGGCACCAAAGCTCCAGTTGTGAATCATCGTCATCTTGTCTCATACTTGTCCTTTCAAATGTTCACTGATTTTTACTTGCTCATTTTAAATCATGCGACTTTTTTGTTTTTTTACATGGACAGAAGTTCAGCATGTAATTTTGGTTTAAGTACAAGATTTGTAAACGGTATGTGAAGGTACTTGGTTTCATGGATCAGTTTATCTCTAACATTTCCACCAATTTAATACTTTACATTTCTCATAACTTTGTTGCTGCACAGTGACACAGCTGTACTTTTGGTAGCCAAGTTTGATTTCTCAACAAGCCAATTTTTGAGAATTTACATCTTAGAAGAGCTCTACTCACATGCATCTATTTACATTGTGATACTGTTTTGTCCTGCAGCTGCTGGTGAATCATTTTAATGTAACTTTTTAGAATTTTGTATCCATGTATCAAAATGTAGAGTATTTTTGTAAAACTAAACTTTTTGGTTTATGCTCATAGCACAGAATATTGTTGCTGGTATGCTTTCCTGAAATGAAGCGCAGGTTTATTGTGAAGTTTATGACTGAAATTAGCAAAGGAATTAAATGAACAGCAAGCAGATATGTTGGAACTTAATTGATTTTACCCAACCTGTATAGCATAATACATGGGCTAGGTTTCTTGCATGTATGTTTTTTTTTTCTTTTAATTTTTTTGTTTGTATGTCATCCATTTCCAATGGCACTTTGACTCATCCATTAACTGTAGATCAGGTTAGTGCGCAGTAGTGATGTTTCCAAGCATTCCGTTCCTCTTGGGCAGGGGAGTTTAAGAGCACATGTTGTGGAGGAAGCGTGGAACAGTAATGTCTCTAAAAGCCATACCAACACAGAAAGCCAACCTGTGACTTCAGTTTCATGAATGTAAATTTTACCTCATGCTGTATTATTCACTAGACGCAAATTTAAAAGTCAGTTGATTCATTGAAAAGCTTTAACAGGTTGACATAAATAGAATAAATGTGTACACTTGCAGTTAGTACAGACTATAAAATTGGCCCAATGTAAAGTCAGTCCAGTAAGTCTTGAGTCAACACTTCATTTGCATGTTTTATTGTATTTTGACCAAATGTATTAATTACATAATTTAACAATATATTGCGCAAAGTGAATAGGCTAAATCAAAATCAACCCAGCTGTTTTAAAGTATATATTTAATGTTTGGGTTTGGATCCACCTCAGCAATTTTAACCTACAAACGAAAAAGTGTTAGAAAGTTTAAACTTCAGAACATCAGTAAGGAACACACCGAAGGCCGCATGACGCAATTCATGTATTATTTAAGCAATTATACAATTTCACTTAATTTTCAATAATACATTTAATAGCATAATTTAGGTTTCAGTAATACAATTTTGCTCAACCTTCACCGATGGGGGGTCAGTAAAGTTGCCCTGTGTTGCAGTTATGAATAAAATGGTGTCTCAAAAGTAGGCTTGAGTGAGTGTCAGAGGTTTTTTTTTCTAGAATGCCTGACACCCTTTAACAGCACTAACAAATGAAAAAACTATTGATTTATACTCCAACTAAAATTTCCCTTAACTGGTGAATCGGAGGCTGTGAAGCAGTGGTGATATGCAGTCTGACTCTTGGGAGAGCCGCTTCCCACCTGAAAACAAACTATGTGAAACAATTTAATGGTGGTAAAGATGGTACACAAATATCTACACAATATTGACTTTGTCCTTCAGTCATGTAAATGAATATCCATGTATATTAAATGTGAAATATACCGCAGGGGTATCTTGAATTTCAGTTGATACTTTCCACAGAACTTTGTGTGCCTTGATAACTAAACCGTGACTCTGCTGTGTTTTCTGGTGTCCCTTTTGTGTCACTGCTATTTGGCTCCTTGTCTTTTTTTTATTCTCACAGACTTTTTAATAATCGGGACACTTCAGTAATTGAGTTTTAATTTCTACAACACAAGCATAACCATAGCCCACACCAGTGTTAACATTCTCATTGGAAACCCAGTGCAAGGTATCAGAGTGATTACTCGACATAATATTGTGCAGCTTCACCAGTGAATTGTTAACACTTTTTTTTTTCCAGGCCTCATGAGATTTGTACATGTGAGGTAAGAGGGACAAGACTGTGGAGATTGCTTTTATGGAGAGCTTTCCTGTGTTGATGTGCTTGTCAACATTACTATTGTTGCTGTGAAATAGCTTGATCAAAAGGAGCAACCATGAGAAATTAACTGTTAATTGCCAATAGCGTGAGCTGTAAGTTTGTGTGTAAATCAGCTTGCTCACTTTTCCTAGTTCACTTTCTATTTAACATTCATCATCAGTTCTGTTGTATCTGTTCTGTGTAGCTTGAGCTTTAGTATCTAGCCTTAAGACCCTGCAGTAGGGATCAAGGTCAATCCCAGTGTGTTATACATTGAACTATTATTAACATGTACTTTGCCTTGGTCTGGACATTTGTATACTCTTCTGTTTATAACTGTAATCCTGCTGCTACATTAAATGAATTAATAAAATCTAAATGTCTTGAGTTTTCTTCCCCCTCCACTCTAGGGCTTTAGTGCTTAAAGATTAAACAGTTTTAAAAAAAAGTTTTTATATTAATCTTTTCAAACTAATATTGCATGTAAGTCAAGTGTCATATTGCACATATAGCTTCACAATTAATGCAGCAATACTGTAACAGAACCGCCCTTAAGGCACAAGTGTCTAACAGGGCAGGAGCTGTTCACAGTTTACTTATGCGGCTGTGGAGAATGTGTTCAAAGAAGGGGAATGGATCCTCAGTGTCAAACTCAACCTTAAACTCAGGTTTTTTCCTGAGAGAAAGGGCAGCCACCACTATGGCCAACACAGCAGTCAGGCCCCATATGTGATACTCGTTTCCTGAATCAGGGTCCACAAAATAAAATGAATGCAACAGTCCCCGAACCTCAGCAGCACCATAGGCAGCACTGTGGTCCTTCTTGCTGGTGAAGAAGTCCAGGGGGACTGTGAACACAGCACTGACCTCGGCTGGGTTTGGACGGGGACAAAATGACTCCTGTATGAAGCCAACCACCGGGGTCACACACACACCACTCTGTTAAGAGATTTGAGGGGGTAACATGAAAGCAAGAAGAGGACCCAAAACAGCTGACAGGGAAGAACATTTATTGTCCTACCTTATTAATGATGGGGAGCAGTCTACACACCACCTGGACAGTCTCAGGTGGTAGACCTATCTCCTCCTCGGCCTCTCTCAGAGCTGTGTCCACATCATCTCTGTCACTGGGGTCTCTCTTCCCACCGGGGAAACACACCTCGCCAGCACTAGTCCTCAGCTAGAGAGAGACACACACAAGTCATCCAAATGTTAAGTGAACTACTAGACAGCACTAGCCTTTCATCCATGCAGCTTACCTCTTTTGAACGCAGGGTCAACATTGTGTGAAGCTGTCCATTCTTCACAAACAGTGGGATCAGCACCGAGGCTTTGGGCAGCACCGGTATAGAAGAGAATTTGTTTCCAGTGTCGAACCGCTTCAAAATGGCAATAGTCTCCTCTTTACTATGCATAATAGCTGCTGTCTTTCAGGGCAGAAAGAAGAGAATGCAGGGCATCTGCAAAAATAAAACCATACGAACATGTAATGAATAAAATAACGATAATACAAAATCAAACAGGAAGAAAGTAGCGTCAAGTAATATGCAGTCGTTTATCGTACAGGCTGAAGGTGTGGGTGGTGTTCAGATCCGACACAGTCTTAAATTGTTAAGTAATCTCTGTTAAAACACGTGAAAACTATCCGAAAACACCTTGAAAATCAAGTTTGTGACGTCAATACTATGCGACAGGCTTCCTCGTTAGCCGTTTAGCTTTCAGGGTACATTGATATAAATGCTGGTCAAAGAAAAGAATAATACCATGAATGGGAAAGCAAAAGGTTATCATAGGAATAAACAAGAACTTAAAGTAGTGTTATTTGCACCTGACTAAGCTACGTTATTAACATGCATTATGCCAAAGTCACTCCCTCTTCTGAGAAAAATGAACAAGTGCAACAGATTGAAAAATCGAATAGGGTTCTGGGTTTTTCACCGAGATTTTTATTGCTGTAAACAGGTCAGTGATGAAAGCCTTCGATATGAAATAAAATATACAGCACATTTCAAGTTAACCACTTTATGGCATGTGCGAATATCAGAAATAAAAAAAACGTACATAATTAAATCTATAACATGTCACTGACAGTTCACTCAACATAAAGCTGTAGCCTGGGACCTCGGATTTAATGAGCCACAGCAAATTAACTACATCTCCAAAATAAAACAATTTACAGGTAAATTCTATACACATAAGTGAATAAATTTAAATTTTACAACCAAAATATTCATAATATACAAAGCTGATCCCACTTTTTCAAAGAGGAAAAGAAATATTTCTTTGTTATTTACAAATCCACAAGTCACATTTTGTGGATTCTTATGTAGAAAAATAAATAAGACTCAAAACACAGCAAAACTAAGGGGGGTCATCACAGTCATGGCCTCGGCAACATTTCACCTGCTCACACTTTGTACTTCTCCTTGGCCTGTTCGTTCAGTATGCAGATGTGCTGAAATAAAAACCAGAGGGCAGTTAATTTGTATTTAATTACTTTCTACTGTCCAAGAAAGTCATTTTTACAGCAGACGTTATGAAAAGCACATTTTACTAATTGCATTACTAAGATAATTCTGCTCTTTTCACAGTGACAGTAAGGCAGCATGGTACTTACTGTATTCAATTAGTATGAATTGGAACATAGCTTTTGTTTCATGGGATGACTGTCATTTTTATCTGGAGTAAATCAACTGTAGCAAACTTACACTGAGATCTCTGAAGTACTCATTGTAGTCCAAAGCATAGCCCACCAGAAAGGCATCTGGTACCTCAAAGCCAATGTCTGGAAGAAGTACACAGATACTAGCAGTGTGAGTCATGTCAAGAAAACAACTACTTTTCAGTGCAGCATAAGTAAATCTGTTAGGCTGGTCTGAAAAAAAAAAAAAAAAAGATCTGGAAACATCTCAGAGGCTGTCTAGTAAACTAACAGGCACTGGTCTTTTACTGTCTGAGGTTGTACTTAAGTTGTCAGAGCTGTATAGTGGAAAGTCAAAATGCCTACAGTAACAGCTGTCAGTGAGGGATAATCTTAAAGAGATTGTCCAACTCAAACTTGAAAATATTACATAATCAGACAGTGCACGCAGGGCATGTCATCAGGCATACAAGAGAGGGTAGAGGAAGTACCCAGCTTGGCTATATTTGGAGCAGATTTTCCTGAAATTAATGTTAATCCTGCATGAAAGGTAACATTAATCACCAGCCCTTCAAATAACCACACACACACACACACACACACACACACACAGGCCTAAAAGAGGCTGTACCATACATTACTGCACCACACAAACAACATGTCTTAGGAGGTACTCACAGTCTGGTCTGTACCCTGAACTCTTTGGGGTCCTTTTCACCAGAAGGCTAGAAAAACACACAAGGAAAATTCAGGAAACAAATGCCTTTAAAGAGAAATTAACACGCCAAAAGGAAAGAACTGTTATCACCATATTTCTTCAGTGCAGATTTTAATACTGACAGATGGCAGTGACTGTCTCAGTACACCTCAGCCAAACAAATGCCTGTTACTGGTTCAAGATCAAGCTCTCTGTTTGGAGCTTCTTTTGGGATAAGATAAACCTTTATTAGCCCCATAGCAGAGAAAATCACACCGTTATAGCAGCAAAGGGATAGAAACAGGAACTCCGTGTTAAGAATCAAAAAGGTAACAGAGAAGGTATTATCAGTATAAACAATTGTAGCTATAATAATAAAAAATAAGGCATTTTGCACACTGGTATGCTGTGTATTCACAGTTATTCAGTCCGTGGGTATGTGAAGTTAAGTGGGGGGGAGGGGTTGTCTACTTTGAGCACAGCCTAACAGCAGCAGGAAGGAAGGACTGTCACTACTTCTGTCACACACACTTGGGGTGAAGCAGTCCGTCACTGACAGAGCTGCCCGGTGCTGTCGGAGTCTCATGCATGGGGTGGGAGTCCTCCTCCAGCATGGATGTTAGCTTGGCTAACATGCATTTGTTGTATGCATGAATGCAAAGTTACAGACTACAGGCTTAATAGTGATCAGTGGATAGAGCTACCTTATCACTGAAAAGAAAAGTTTAGAAAGATGTGAGATTATTCTGAAAAATCTCTGGTTCTGAATGAAAACTGTTAACACCAAGGTCTGCACATTACCCTAGGTAATATGCACTTTAAATGTACTTCATCACTTGAAGCAACACCAATAAAACTCTTTTCAGTTATATTTTGTTGGGGTGGTTGCAGAAATGTCAAGAGAAGATATCCCAAAACCTCAGCA